TGCTTTGGGGATTCAGAAAGTTAGGATTCTTTCAGGAAACAAGACCCCAGGAACAGTAGAGAAAACTCAGTCACTGGTAGCAAGTTTTAGGGTGTTACTAAAATAGACTTGGATATTTTCAGAACCAGAATATCATAAATGTGCCCTGAGTTTTTAGTTTGTGCTTTTTTTTTCTTTTTCATATTCTTATGTAGGTAATCCACCTATACCTTTTAGTTCACATATAAAATTAAAATTTAAGAAAACCTCCCTGGCCGGTTTGGCTCAGTGGCTGGAACGTTGGCCCATGGACCAAAGAGTCTCAGGTTCAATTCCAGTCAAGGGCATATTACTTTGGTTGCAGTTTGGTCCCTGGCCCTGGTAGAGGTTGCACAGGAGGCAACTAGTTGATGTGTCTCTCTCACATCCATGTTTCTCTCTTTCTCTCTCTCTACCCTGCACCCCATCCTCCTCCCCCAACTCTGTCTGAAAATGAATGAAAAAATATCCTTGGGTGAGGATTTCAAAAAAACAAAAACCTTAATAAAAACAGTGTGGTGATTGAGTGTGTGTAAGGGGGAAGTGGAGGTGGAAGAGGGCACAGGTGAAAAATGGTGATGGAAAAAATAAAATAAATTTAATTTAAAAAAATCACCTTATCTTCTAAACCACTTGAAAACACATCTGGCACCAGAGAGGGTGGAGGAAATACAAAAACCAAAAACTTTGCCTTAAAGATAAATTTAAATACATATACATAACGTGTATGTATGTGTGCATTTCAAGGTTCCACAGGTTACAACCTGCTGCCCACTGCTGCATGGTCTGCAAACTAAGAATGGTTTCCACATTTTTAAATAGTTGAAAAAAACATAAAAGAATAATATTTCATGATATGTAAAAATTACATAAAATTCAAATTTCAGTGTCTGTAAATAAAGCTCTTTGGAACACAGTGGCATTCACTCAGTTATGAACTGCCTATGGCTGCTATTTCACTATAATGGCAGAAATAAATAGTTGCCACAGAAATCCCTATGGCCTGCAAGGTCTAAAATATTTACTCTCTGACTCCATACAGAAAAGGTTTGCTACAGCAAGTGTTACGATGAAAGGGGATACATTAATCTCTTAGTTGTGATTCTCGAAATGTGACTAAGTTGCCAAATTGAATTATGACTTATATACGTTTTCAAATTCCCTAACAGAGATGTTTCCTCCCAAACTAGTGATTCTTTAATGGTGGTCCATTTCCTGAAAGAAACTAACCCTTCTAATCTGTATGTAGACTCCCAGGAGTTCAATAGAGTACCTGTTTGAAAACTGGAACCCATTCAGTTTTGCTTCTTAAAAATTTGGCCCTACCTATAACTTCTTATATTGTCCACTAGTAAAAAGAAAGTGTAGCCCTGGCCGGTTTTGCTCAGTGGTTAGAGCGTTGGCCTGCGGTCCTGAGAGACCCGGGTTCGGTTCCTGCTAAGGGCGCGTACCTTGGTTGTAGTTTGTCCCCAGCCCTGGTTGGTTGTGCAGGTGGCAGCCACTCGATGTGTCCCTTTCACGTCGATGTTTCTCTCTCTCTCTGTTCCTCTCTCCCTCCCACTCTACCTGAACAAAAAATGGAAAAATGTCCTCGGGTGAGGATTAAAAAAAAAAAGTGTAGAAGAAGAGGAGAAAAGAAACTAGAAGTTAATCAAACACTTATCATGTGCCAAACACATTATATTTCTTTTAGTTCTTCACAACAATGTTATGAAGTTGGAATTACTAGCCTTATATCACTGAGGTAAGGAGAGGGTCAGTGAGGTTAAGCGACTTGCGAGTACAGCACGTGGCAAAACGAATTCAAACCCCAAACCTGATTTCCACTAATCATGTGTTTTCAAATATTATGATTATAAATCATTATAAGTAGTGCATTTTAATTCATGATACAATATACAGACACATAAATGTATACAACTGAACAAAAGTTTCATGAACCAATATTTACCCTTAAAGTGTAATAAGTTATAAAAAGCTAGTAAGTGTAATAAGTTTTAGTAAGTTAAAAATTAATGGTCAAAATCAACAAAATTATTTTTACAACCCACTTACAGATCACCATTAAATGAAGTGTAAAGAAAAAAGAAATCACTGCCCTAAATCACAGTGTTTCTCAAGCTAGTGAAGGACAGTCGTGAGGTTCTTTAATTATTGTAAAGTCTGGTCAACCTTGCCAGTCAGAGACCTGCTTTATGAATGCAAAATCAGAGAATAACTGAGGTTTGTTACAGGTTATCAAATGCTATTTTGAGACAACTGATATGTGAGACAACTGGTTTAAATAGCATGTTCTGAGTGCTTTATATAAATGAGACAACTGGTTTAAACAGCATGTTCTGAGTGCTTTATATAAATTTATTTAATCTTCTTAACAATTCTGTGAGGTAGATACTATTATTTTCATCTTACAAAAGAAGAGACAGGCACAGAAAACTCAGCTGACTTCCCAAGATTACACATTGAGTGAACAGCTGAGGCCGGATTCAGACCCAGGTGGTCCGGCTCCAGGGTTCACTCTCTTAATCACTTTCTCCAGCACCATTCCCTTCGGACTTCACAGCCGAGTCACATTCATTTGTCAAAGAAACAACCTTAACAGAATTGACTGAACATTTAACTTTTGACTTTTTTAAAAGAAATGGCCATGTAAGAATATTGCCATATCTTTAATAACAGTACAATTAAAATGCTATATTAATGATATTGTCACAGATCCCTATGTCTGACCTCTCCTGGTATACTACACACTTTATTTTATTAGAAAACAAAAGTTACACATCTTGATTCCATGTTTTTGTCAGAGTCTACCTGTGCCTCAAAGTTAAACTATGCTTTTATCATGAACAAGTAACAACTAACTATTTATGGCTATATTTTTCTATACACTAGCCTATCATTTTCTTCCTCACATTCAGTAACACTGTGCTAGGAGCTGGACAGTTAAAAGTGAGACAGTTATGTCCCATGCTTTCGTTGAGCTGAAGACATAATTAAACAAATAATTTCATTATTAATGACAAGTTCTAGAAAGAAAAAAATACAGCACGCTTTGAGAGTATACTACTGGGGGACCCAACCTAGACAATGTGGCCTAGACATCTATAAAGCAGTGACATTTCTGCTGAGCCATAAAGGATGAGAGGAAACTGTGCCTAGAATGATTTCTGAGTAAAGAGAAGAAAATGTAGAAAATCCTGAGGAGGGAAGGATGGCTCTTCTAATAAACTTTGGTAATTTGTCAACAGGAACTGACAGGACATACCTTCTGTTGGCGTCTGCTCAAGACACTGGCTAGGAATAGGAAAAAGGTGAGAGCCGTCCAGCTTACTTAACTGAGGGTGATTCTGCTCTATGTGGGAGGGGGTAGTGCATTAGTTTCTCAACACTGGCTACACATCAGAATTCTGGAGATCTATGTCAAGGAAAGAGGCCATGGTGTGAGTAAGAACCCATTTAGCTTCTGAATGTCCCAAGGTGAAAAAACAAACTGGAAAGCTGAAGACGACTGTTATAAGAGGGTGATCCTATTGACCTATTTTATAGAATCTACAAAAGCATACAAAACAGCTAGACTTCTTTTTTTTCATTTCTGATCCTATAAAAGGAGAAGTATTGCTGCCATCCTAGGAGAAACTGGGAACTCATAAACATTACCATGATACAGGTAACATGTAAAATTTGAACAAAGAGAGGGAAAAAAATCTTCCCTAGACTTTTGCCGTTATTGCCAATAAGTATCTATTAAAGTGAACTGATAATTCAGAAGATAGTAGTTAGTTTAAATGTTTACATAATTCATTTTATATACAAGGTTTTTTTCTGTTTCATCCCCCAATGTTTTTCCCTGTCATACTGTTACTATTTACATTCCTTTGCCATTGGACAGATATAGAAAATTAAGAGGTTTCCTATTAAAAATAAGGGCAACCATTCATAGAAAGTTTATTATGTGCCAGGCAGGTACTGTGTGATATGTTTTAAATACATAATTATCTTGAATCATCACAACAACCTTTTGACCTATTATTACATTTATGTCATCAAAGAGGAAATTGAAGCACTTGTCATATAATTTTGTGCCAAAGGTCACACAGTAAGAAATGCCACAGTCAATTAAAGCAATGCATTCAACCTGTTGTTGGAACAAAGTGTATCTGCTGAATCCCAAAGGAAGGCTAAAGAGGATCAAGGGGGAAAAAGATCAATCCAGGAACCACAATTTGAGACCGACTAGACTATATAAGCTACATAAATTCACTCTCTTAAATAGCTATAGTAAGTAAAAACACATACTTTTTCTGGGAAACTAGACTATAAATAAAAGAACTCCTTTAGAGTTTAAAGAGATGTGAAATTAAAAAATTAAAAAAAAAAAACACATTTAAAAGATTTTTCCTAAATTTTATTTTTAAGTATAAAAGTATACTTAAAAATATTTGATGCACACAAAAAATATATATAAGATATATAAAGTGTAAAAACCATTTAATTCTTACAGCTAATTCATCATAGAGGTAATCAATGTTTTCAAATACAACTAACTTCCTTTAATATTAAACTGTACTTATTTTGGAATTGCCAAATATGCTTATGATGATTTAATTTTTAAAGAATACATATAAAATGTATAATGTAAATCAGTAAATTTTAAATAATTTCTTCTTCACTGCTATTTCACAATTTTCACTAGCAAATAAACAATATGTTAACCAATCTAACAGAATGTATAAAGTTTGATAAGAAAAAGAACTCAAACTTTCCAGGATATATAGCAAAACTGCTAAAGACAGAGAGAACACAAAAACATATTTTATCCTAAATTTATCAATTTTAGTTATTTTGTGAAATAAAGAACACATAAAATTTAAGACTGAGCTTTATTATTCTAAAGTAGGCCTACAAAACTAATGATAAGACTAGCCTTCAGTGCTATTTGACAATTATATACAATGAATATTGGCAATGAAGTAAAATCTTACCCAGATCTAGTCGTTTTGAATTCCACCTTGAGGATAGGTTTGCATGGTTCTGGCTTCTTCCCATCCTTTAACTGTTTTCCTAAAATATATTTTCCTGCATTAAATTCTAAAATTCTAAGTTACTCTAAATTCTTACATTGATAGTTTATAAAATGAAAGTGAAATATAATGAAATCAATCATGAAACATTTTAAAGTGAATTTGATAGAAGTATTTAATACAAAATATTTAAAATAATCCAAAAAATTTACTGTTTGAAATACAGCACTAAATAAAATTAATAACTTTGTAACAACATTTACGCAATATATTTCTAGTAAAAAAAATTGATAGTCTTCCCAATGTTCTTAATTGAAGATAAGCAAAATAAAATTTCAATTTGCTAAATGAATTTTAGATAGTTAAATTTGAGAAAAAGAAAAAGAAATCAGATTTTTACCCGTGTGTGGCAGGCTACAAAATTAAACCCTATACTAGTAAATTCATTTATATTTATTCTCCTAAAGTAAAATCCACCCACTGTAATATCTAAAGGCTGCTAAAGTACACCAACCTCTGTAAAATGTGTGAGGTACTCATATTATCCAAAATTTTTGATTATTTAAAAAAATGTTTGTTGATTTCTGTTATCTATTTCTACATGTCATTGTAGAAACAACTCAGAAACATATAAAGAAAATAAGACATCTATACTCATTTCTTAGAGATGAATAATTCTAAAGAATATTTTTCTTAGATTCCAAACACTCCTACCACAAGACTTATCTTCCTTCTCAGTTTCCCCATCCCCACACTGCCTATCTCATTTTAATAGTCTTTTATATTTTGTTTGTTTGTTTGCCTCATCAACAAGAATATAAATTTCATGAAGGCAAAGGTTGGTAAGTGTGTTTGTGTTTTCTGTTGATGTAGACCTGACGACAAACATTGTTTGGCTTATAGTGGCCGCTCAATAACTATTTAATGGGTGAATAATTTTTTCTTTGGATTAATTCCTAAAAAGTAAAATATAATAAATCCATCATGAAACATTTAAAAGTGAATCTGATAGAACTGTATTCCAGGAAGATTGTATCAATTTATACTTCCATCAGCAATATAAGTATTTTGCCACACCTTACCCAAACAATATCTTTTTTTCTAATTTGATAGATGGAAAGGGTATCTCATTTTAATTTGTATTTTTTAATCCCTAGATATTCTTAGGCTTATTGGTCATCTGTATTTCTTCTTTTACCCATGCTTGTATGCAATCTCTATATTTAAAAATAAATTTAAGCCCTGGCCAGTTTGGCTCAGCGGTTGGAGCGTCGGCCTGCAGACCAGAGAGTCCCAGGTTCAGTTCCCACTAGGGGCATGCACATAAATAAATGAATAAATAAATGAATGAATGAAAATTTAATATTCAAAAGGCATTAACACTGTATCTATCATATATTGGTAATATTTTCCCTAGTGTGATTTGCAATTGAATTCTTACCAGTTTTTAAAAATTGCACATTTTAAGCATATACATTTAAATCATCAAGTCTATCAGTCTTGTCATGTTTCTATATAAGAAAACTTAAAATCCCAAAATATAATCCTTCCAAGATTATTTTACAAATTTAATGTAATTAAAATCCTAATATCTTTTCTTAAATTTGAATAAAATGACCTTAGAGTTCACATTGTGGACTCAATGCCTATGAATAGCTAAGGAAACTAGGAAATGAGATTAACTTCCAGAATGACACAGCGAGAACCTTGGTGAACTGGCGTTCCCACAAAAATTGAAATACTACCAAAACAACTAAAGTTAAACACTTTAAAATGCTGGAAATTAACCAAAGACACAAAACGAGTGTAACATTGTCTACCCAATAAAAAAAACTAAACCTCGTAGACAAGGAGAACTGAAACATTTTGATGGAGGGCTATTCCCATCCCCTTCACTCCCAGCTCGGTGGCCAGGTAGAAATAGAAGATACCAGCCAACATAGAGGACTGAAATTTCTTTGCAGTTCCATTAAAACCAGCTTCCCTAGAGCACAATCAATATTTTGTCCTAACTTTCAGCTCCCTGGAAAACTATATTCCCAAGGTGTTGTGGCAATTTAACTTGATTCAGACATCAGTTCAGGGAGACAAAAGATCCTACCCTCTAGCAGGGGTAGGAAACTTTTTTTTTTTACCATCGGCCACTTGGATATTTACAACATCATTCGAAGGCCATACAAAAGTATTAACTTAAAAATTAGGCTGCTATATTTGAAGAAGCATGTGATGTTAGCTGGGATTGACTTTGTGAGCCTTACACAGCCCGCGGGCCGGACATTCCGCACCCCTGCTAGGGCATCTAGAAAATAACAGCAATCTGCTGGCAATACCTAGCTGTCTAAGGCTGTGGTTTCAGTTGAAACAAATAAGAGCCTGGGCAGGAGTTTAAAAGAAAATCCTCAAGAACTAAACATTTTCCTGGGGATGTAAAAGGATGCACGCATGTGTAAGGCTGTGTGCATGCCCAGGAAAGACCTGGGAAAAAAGGTTAAGGTCCCAGTCACTTATCTCTGGATGACTCTGAGGAATTGAGCAAACAGAGAGTTAAAAAAAAATTAAATGGTAGCTATTGCTGGCAGGAACACTGGAAAAGGGGTACTCACACACGGCTAGTAGAGATGTAAAGGATACAGACTTTTTTGAAAGCAGTTTGAGAACATTTATTAAAAATGGAAGGACAAAAAAACCTATTCCTATAAAATGAGTCCAGGATAGAACTGGCAGCATAATCAGTAGGAATCAAGAACTGAAAAAAAAAGTTAATGTCTATTAATTTCGAACTGCTGAATAAATTGTGAAAAAACTGTTAAACAATTGGCAATTATACATCCACTAAAATGAAGGACTTAGAGCAATCCCAGATGACATGGGAGATTTTCCTAAAGTACAGTGGATTAAGAAATGCAAAATGCAGACTCATATTCATGTTGTTTACAAGAGATCTACCTCACAACAAAACACACACATAGGCTGAAAGTGAAGGGATGAAAAAAAATCTTCCAAGCAAACAGAAAAAGAAAAAAAGCTGGGGTAGCAATACTCATATCTGATAAAATAGATTTGAAAATGAAGTCCATAACTAGAGACAAAAAAGGCCACTACATAATATTAAAAGGATCTACCCAACAGGAAGATACAACCTTGGTAAACATATATGCACCCAATAGGAGCACCAACATATATTAAAAATCTTCTGGAGGACTTCAAAGGAGAAATCAACAGCAATACAATGATAGCAGGGGACTTCAACACCCCGCTGACATCACTGGATAGATCCTCTAGATAAAAAATTAACAAGGAAACAGAGACTCTAAATGATGCAATAGATTAAATGGATTTAATAGATATCTACAGAGAATTACAGCCCAAAACCGCAGAATTCACATTCTTCGCAAGTGTACATGGGACATTCTCAAAGACAGACTTCATGTAAGGACACATACTAAGTCTCTATAAGTTCAAGAAGATTGAAATCATTTCAAGCATCTTCTCAGATTACAATGGCATGAAACTAGAAATCAATTGCAATAAGAACATGCGAAGACATTTGAACATATGGAGGCTAAATAGCATGTTATTAAACAATGAATGGGTTACCAAAGAAATCAAGGTAGAAATTAAAAACGTCCTGGAAACCAATGAAAATGAACACACAACAACACAAAATACATGGGATGCAGTGAAAGTAGTTCCGAGGGGGAAGTTCATAGCACTACAGGCCTACCTTGAGAAACAAACAAAAAAAAATTTCTAACTGATTATCTAACCTTACAACTTAAAGAACTAGAAAGCAAACAAAAAGAAAACCCCAGAGCAAGTAGAAGAAAAGAAAGAGTAAAGATCACAGCAGAAATAAATGACATGGAGACAAAAAACAATTCATAGGATCAATGAAACAAAGAGCTGGTTTTTTGAAAAGATAAACATGGTTGATGGACCCTTAGCTAGACTCATCAAGAAACAAAGAGAGAGAACCCAAATACACAAAATCAGAAAGGAAAGAGAAGTAACAACTGACACCACAGAAATGCAAAGGATTGTTAACAAATATTATGAACAATTATAGGGCAACAAATTGGACAATCTAAGCAAAATGGACCAATTTCTAGAAACACATAGTCTCCCAAAACTCACCCGGGAAGAGATAGAAAACTTGAACAGACCAATAACAACAAAAGAAATTGAATATGTAATCAAGACTCTCCCAGCAAACAAAAGCCCAGGCCCACACGGCTTCACGGAGAGTTTTACCAAACATTCCAAGAAGAACTAATACCCATTCTCCTCAAACTATTCCAAAAAATTCAAGATGAAAGAATTCCAAACTCGTTTTATGAGGCCAGCATAATCCTAATTTCAAAACCAGATAAAGACACTACAGGCCAATATCACTGATGAACATAGATGCCAAAATCCTGAACAAAATACTAGCAAATAGGATCCAGCAATACATCCAAAAAATTATTCACCAAGACCAAGTGGGATTCATCCCAGGGATGCAAGGCTGGTACAATATTCAAAAATCAATAAATGTGATACACCACATAAACAAAATAAAAGACAAAAACCATATGATCATATCAATAGATGCTGAAAAACATTCGACAAAATCCAGCACACATTTCTAATAAAAACACTCAGCAATGTGGGAATAGAGGCATCACATCTCAACATAAAAAAGGCCATATATGAAAAACCTACAGCCAACATCATACTCAATGGGCAAAAACTAAAAACATTTCCCTTAAGAACAGGAACAAGACAGGGATGCCCACTTTTGCTACCTTTATTTAAAATAGTACTAAAAGTCTTAGCCATAGCAATGAGACATGGCGAAAAAATCAAAGGGATCCAAAATGGAAAGGAGGAAGTGAAACTGTCATTATTCGCAGATGACATAATATTATACATAGAAAACCCTAAAGACTCCATCAAAAATCTGCTAGATTGTTGTTGTTTTTAATCTTCACCTGAGGACATTTTTCCATTTTTTTGTTCAGATAGAGTGGGAGGGAGAAAAAGGAAGAGAGAGAAACATTG